TTGCAAGCGAAGGCGAAGAGTGAGGTTGACAAATTTTTTGAAAGAGATTTATGTAAGTTTTTCTTCTTAAATCTTTAATTTTTCCTTTTGCTTTCGGTATGAGAGAAATGTGGTCGACGGATAGTAGTTGGAGGTACACGAGTCTGACTCGGCAATAAATAAGAGGATATTTGGTAAAACTGAAAGTCACTTTGTTACTTAAAAATCTTGATTGGAAGTTGTTCAAATATAAAGCAATGTTATCTCGATAGTCAAATCAAATTTGTCGATTTGAATTTAATTTGTCGATTCAAATTAATATTTGATATTTTTTAATTATTGTGCTGAATAATGGAATATCAAATTCAAAGTCGTTTTATTCAAAACTTTTATATCGGAGTGTATAAAAGTGTAAGAAATGTTGTAAATTTCATCTAGTTTTACCCTATCTGACTAAAAAGGGGTGGTTTTATATGAAATTTGACAAAAACCAAAAAATGACCCGAATTTTCTATTTATATTGCTAAAGAATGAGATATCGAATTCAAAGTCGTTTTATTCAAAACTTTTATATCGGAGTGTATAAAAGTGTTTCCCAGGAAATATTGTAAATTTCATCTAGTTCCACCATATGTAACTGAAATTCATTTGAAGTTTTTGAGTTATTTGACAAAAACCAAAAAAATGTCTCAAATTTTCTATTTTTATTGGTTAAGAATGAAATATCGAATACAAAGTCGTTTTATTCAAAATTTTTATATCACATTTTATACTACCATGTATTTATTTATTAAATATTTTATAACTTTTAAACGGTCTGTCTAATTCAAATAAAATATTTGACAAATTTCCTTAAAATTATATAATCTATAATATTGTCTAACATTATAATGCTCTACAGCAACTCGGTATACTTTAAAATTGCTACTAAATATAAAATAATTTCAATTAAATCTAAACGTAGGGTGATAGTGTTTTTTCTACGGACTGTGTTATATTTTTAAATTGAAATTTTAAAGTATACCGAGTTGCTGTAGAGCATTATAATGTTAGACAATATTGTAGACTATATAATTTTATAAAAATCTGTCAAATATTTCATTTAAATTAGACCAAGCGTTTAAAAGTTATAAAAAAAATATTTAATAAATAAATACATGGTAGTATAAAATGTAACTTCCACATCATTATTGAAAACTTTTATATCGGGATGTATAAAAGTGTTGACAAGGAAACGTAGTAAATTTTATTAAGTTTCACCCTATCTAACTGAAAAAGGGTGGTTTCATATGAAATTTTTGAGTTATTTGACAAAAACCAAAAAATGACCCAAATTTTCTATTTATTGCTACTAAAGAATGAAATATCGAATTCAAAGTCGTTTTATTCAAAACTTTTATATCGGAGTGTATAAAAGTGTTCCAAGGAAATGTTGTAAATTTTATCTAGTTTCACCCTATCTAACTAAAAAGGGTGGTTTCATATGAAATTTTTGAGTTATTTGACAAAAACAAAAAACATGTCCCGAATTCTGTTCTATTTATATTGCTAAAGAATGAAATATCGAATTTAAAGTCGTTATATTCAAAACTTTTATATATGGTGTATATTTTATTTAGGGTTTATATTTTAATTTATCAATTAACAAAATTGGATTAAAAAATTATCATTTATTACTAAGATGATGAATGTATTTTTTTTTTTAAATCCCGATCAACATAAATCTTAAGATTCCGTAATAAATCGTAAAGTCCGTAATGAAAAAAGTTATTGAAAGTCCAATATATCATAGAACATTCTCTCCTCTCTCTGTTTGGTTTGATAGGTTTCATTAGGAAGTTTCAAAAAAGTTTCGTTTTTGAAATGACAGAAATATAATCATAAAAGAAAGTTTTTACGAATAGAAAATTATTTATAACGATGCGGTTTTAATTAAAAATGGAGCAAAAATAAGGTGGAGTGCGAGATGTTTTTATGGAATTTGTCTTTAGGCCTTCACACCTTTTTCTATTTTTATAACGCAATCCATCAAACGTACCTACTTTAACTAATTTTATGTTCAGTTTTATTAGTTTTTTTCCCCGGAAAAGTCATAATTCAAAAAAACGCACACTCGCCTCGCCATTATTTCCGAACGTTTTAATTATAAGTTAGTTCTCGACATTATTTACATTAACGAATTGAACTTTTTTCATAATCATTTGAAAAACGGTGTAGGACTATGAAGGTATAGCCAGGAGGTCATTTTAAACCGTTTCAAAAGGTTGAAATCGCAGTGAAAATATATATATGCAAATATAAATGCTCGGATGTAATTAAAACTATGTTTTAAATTAATTTTTTGCGATTTTTTGCACGTACGGTGGAGGAGATGGGAATCAAGTTCATTATGGAAATTAGATAAAATGAGAGCTGAATGGAACGTTTTAGACTAATTTATTTTATCTATATATATATATATATATATATATATATATATATATATATATATATAATTATACCTAAGATATTGTATTATTACCACAAACTCAGCGGTTATTTATGGTTCGTAAAATCAATTGTGCAAACGTGTCTGACATCCCAAAATCCTATTAATAGAATCAACACGAGATATCGAGAGACGATAATATCTGCTGATGTAAGACTATATAGTCTCATGTCATAAATAAATCATAATTTTATAAATCAATCTGCGGTTCTATCTAGATTCCGGAAATTGCTCATAATTTATAAATACGACAAGAAATGTTTAAATTCTAGCTTTTCAAGATTTATTTCAACTACTAGTTCGATTTACGTTTTTTTTTCGGACAATTTACAAATATTTCAAGAAGTATACAAAATTTCTATATTGTTCACAGCATTTTAAGAGAATGTACAGCATTTTAGAACACTTTGCAACCCTTTCAGAATGTATAACTGATTCAGACAATGTACAATTTTGTCAGACAAAACTTCTATGAATATTTTAAGATTTTAGGCAATTTAAAACATATCCATAAATCTTGCAACAATTCAGACAATTTAAAACATTTCTATAAAACTTGCCACAATTTCAGTCGATTTGCAACATTTTTATAATTCTTACAATAATTTCAGACAACTTGCAAGACCCTCAGATATTTGCAAGACCTTCAGACAATTTGCAAGACCTTCAGACAGTTTGCAAGACCTTCAGACAACTCGCAACATTTTCAGACAATTTACAGCACTCTGAACAAATTTACAAAACTTTCAGGCTATTTGCAAGACTGTCAGGCTATTTGCAAGACTGTCAGGCTATTTGCAAGACTCTCAGGCTATTTGCAAGACTCTCAGGCTATTTGCAAGACTCTCAGGCTATTTGCAAGACTCTCAGGCTATTTGCAAGACTCTCAGGCTATTTGCAAGACTCTCAGGCTATTTGCAAGACTCTCAGGCTATTTGCAAGGCTCTCGGGCCATTTGCAAGGCTCTCGGGCCATTTGCAAGGCTCTTGGGCCATTTGCAAGGCTCTCGGGCCATTTGCAAGGCTCTCGGGCCATTTGCAAGGCTCTCGGGCTATTTGCAAGGCTCTCGGGCTATTTGCAAGGCTCTCGGGCTATTTGCAAGGCTCTCGGGCTATTTGCAAGGCTCTCGGGCTATTTGCAAGGCTCTCGGGCTATTTGCAAGGCTCTCGGGCTATTTGCAAGGCTCTCGGGCTATTTGCAAGGCTCTCGGGCTATTTGCAAGGCTCTCGGGCTATTTGCAAGGCTCTCGGGCTATTTGCAAGGCTCTCGGGCTATTTGCAAGGCTCTCGGGCTATTTGCAAGTCTCTCGGGCTATTTGCAAGGCTCTCGGGCTATTTGCAAGGCTCTCGGGCTATTTGCAAGGCTCTCGGGCTATTTGCAAGGCTCTCGGGCTATTTGCAAGGCTCTCGGGCTATTTGCAAGGCTCTCGGGCTATTTGCAAGGCTCTCGGGCTATTTGCAAGGCTCTCAGGCGACTCTCAAGACTCTCACACTTTCAGACAACTTAAAGCACTCGAAAAATTTACAAATTTTTCAGACGACTTGCAACATTTTTCAGACGACTTGCAACAATTTTTCAGACAACTTGCAACATTTTTCAGACAACTTGCAACATTTTTCAGACAACTTGCCACACTTTCTGGTCGTCTTCAGAGATATTTATAAAAAAAAACTAAAAATTGTATTAATCAGTCTGGGAACGTATTTATCAAAAATAGACTTTGAACAAAAAAAAACTTTCCTACAAATCCTTAGATTTACCTAGGATTAATTTTAGTTACACAACCTCCTTCTCCGGGCCAAAGAGTAACTAATCGGCCCAACAGCGTATTATTCTAGTTAAATATTCATGCATTACGCTGCAGTAATAGCTATAGTTGGAGCTATAGCTAATAATAATTCACAAAGCCTTCATCGTCGTCTTTAGAGCGATTTGCATCTGAATGAAATTCTACAGACGATGCGCAACTAGTAAATCCAATCCAAGTGGAGCAGGAGGAGGAGGAGAAATCGATACTGAATTGCTTAAGATTGGAAAATGGAGAGAAATTTTTAGTAATTGGATGTTTTGGGAGAAATAGTTTTTAATAGAAATAGCGAAACTTGGTTAGTGATTTTGTTAAATATGTATGTGTATTGTAAAACGTGTGATTTTTGTTAGAATTTACATTTAATATGGAGAGATTGTGATAATATTGCAAGCACAAATTGTTTTATGAAAATGTCTAACATTATATCATATTTCATAAAATATCTCTTTCTTCATCTTCATATAATTTTTTTTTATCTCCACATGTAAAAAAGTTACGTCCAAGAAACTAAAACAAAACTCCATTACATTTTGCACTGCAAACAAGTCATTCCTTTAGAATTTCCTGCAATCTTTCTCAATTCTCGTCTTTTACAAATAGAATTTGCGAAAAGCCATTCCTCCACCTGAACCTACTACCTACCCTTCGACGACGCACAGCAACGTCATCTAGCGAGACAGCTCCTCCATCGACTCGTCGACTAGAGTCGACTCTACTCAACTACTATTCGCTGCGGCTTTCAATGTGATTAATGACTCCTATTTCGATGTTGATCAATATTATATCGTTGACGGCAAGTGATGTTTTAAGCAGCTGCTGGCACAACATAACAGACGTGAGACTGAGGAAACTGGGGTTGGGGGGAGCAACGGCCCCTTTGATTTGCGGAGGTAAATTACTCGTGACAAGGGAAGAGGGAGTTGTGGTTGGGTAATGGTAATATGTCAATCTTGCAGAATCAGGTCTAGATTCATATCCTGCAATTGGCCACTCTGGAGAAGTCTCCTCAATCAAAATTTATCTAATCAATTATCTTACCCATCAAGGAGCATCTCAGGTTTCCTCTCCAACAACTGTCCAGCAACATCATTTTCCTCCCTCAACCCTTCCTCCTCCTGCGAAGCATAAGTCGTAGGTCGTCCCTTCAACCAGTAAGTAACAGCTGCTGGAGACGCCTCCACGACGCACTCCAAATGGACATCGGAGTCCAAAGGGGCGCCCAGGAGCTGACTGGGAGCTCTCACAGAAGGAGCAACTAGAAAAGAAAATTGTATAAGTCACACTTATATTTTAGCGGATTTTTTGTTTTACTTACAATGGACGTTTAAAGTGACCCTTTTGCTGACAGCTGGGGGCACCTCGTTTGAGGCTATACATAAGTAGGCGCCCATTTGGCGGCGCTCGACCCTGCTCAGGTGAAGCACTGTGCCGTTGAAAGAATCTACTGGAAAAAAAGGATACAGAGTTGTTTTAGGGCGTTATGGTGTTAGACAAAGTTAAAGATTATTGAATTTTGTACAAATTTGCTGAATGTTTCATGAATTTTAGACAAACGGTTTAAAAGATAAAATGGATTCTATTAAAAAGTTCATACAGCACATCTTTACAGTAAATTGTTCTACGCAAGAAACGTAATACTTTGCAGGATAGTATTTGCCGGGCTTGCTATGTATGTATGTATGCATGTATGCATGTATGTATGTATGTAGGTATATTATATATATTATCATCCTCTTCCTCCAACTTAGCACTGTTCTTATTAATGACAAGACAATAGGCTCTGCGGCACGAGCAGAGATATTATTTGTCATCTGCATAATGCACCAAAGTTATGGCCCAAGTAGCTGTTCAACAACACAACAAACTAATATATACAACCTACCACTTACCACCTACTCTACCACTTCTCTCCGGGTACCAACTTTAACTGAATTACCGTGCATTTCGTCGCCGCCTCTACTTTACTACTCAACTGTCAACGTGATGGAATTATAATATTAACTATGTTATTATTATATGAGAGACGAATTTAATTGCAGGAGATAATGTGTGGAATTTTAAGTACGCTATCAGGGATGTCGGAATTGGGACCTATTTGGGGTTGGTTTTGGCCACCAATGCTTTAATCTGTACTAAATTAGTGATACTAACTACCCGTAGAGTTGTAATAATCGCAAAACATCGAAAACGAAATTTTTCTATCATTATTTTGGACGATTTGGCGTATTTTTCAAAAAAATGTGTGTGCGTATTTGTGTAGGTACGTGTGTGCGGACACAATCTTGCATCGACGATTACAAGAGAACGGAGCAACCGATTTGAATGATTTAAAAACCTATCGATTTCTATTGATGGGATTCACGTGCTGACTAGTTTTTGCCAAAGGCAGGTCTAGCCGTTCTGGAGGTACGGTGCCAAAAGTGTCAAAAGTGGTTATGCAGGACCTATTTGGGGTTAATTTTGGCCACCAATGCTTCAATCTGCACCAAGTAATGATATTAAAAACCCGTAAGGTTGTAGTAATCGCAAAACACCGAAAACAAAATTTTTCTATCATTATTTTCAACGATTTGGCGCATTTTTCAAAAAAAATGTGTGTGCGTGTTCGTGTAAGTATGTGTGTGCGGATACAATCTTCCTTCGACGATTACCAGAGAACGGAGCAACCGATTTGAATTATTTAAAAACCAAACGATTTCTATTGAGGGGATTCACGTGCTCATTAGTTTTTGCCGAAGGCAAGTCTAGCCGTTTTGGAGGTACGGCGCAAAAAGAGTCAAAAGTGGTTATGCAGGACCTATTTGGGGTTGATTTTGGCTACCAGTGCTTTAGCACAGTTTCCAATTAGGGTTGTAGTAATCGGAAAACATGGAAAACAAAATTTTTCTATCAGTATTTTGAACGATTTGGCGTATTTTTCAAAAAAATGTGTACGTATGCGTGTTTGTGTAGGTACGTGTGTGCGGATACAATCTTGCATCGACGATTACCAGAGAACGGTTCAACCGATTTGAATGATTCAAAAATCTATCGATTTCTATTGATCGGGTTCACGTGCTGATTAGTTTTGCCAAAGCAGGTCTAGCAGTTTTGGAGTTATTGAGCAAAATGTGTTTTGTAAGTTTGTGTGGGAACCAAGCGTCCGATTTGAATGATTCAAAAAACATTTAGTTTAGTATTTTGTGTCTGTTTTATTTACCTCTGACGAGGTCTTTGGTTTTAGTCCTGACCAATAAAGGTTGTCCGTCTTCACGTTTCCAAGTGACCCTAGGTTGGGGTCTTCCATTGGCGGTGCATTGAAGGTTTGCGTCTTGCCCTTCTTGGGCTGTGACGTCACTGGAACTGTTTTCGTCCGAAATGTCGGGTGGCACTGCAAAAATAAAAAAAAATTATATCAATGCTTTTGTAAATATATTTACTAATAATATAAATGTCTAAAATTCAGAAATTTGCAATTAAATCCACCACAACTCTATGCAAAACGTTCCAGAAATTTTTACGTTTCAATAATTAATTTATCAAATATCTGTAACCATACAAATTAATTAATCGCCAAAAATTACAACCACAATTAATTAATACAATAGCAATAATACGGCGACTTTTTGAGGTCGACCACAAATTACTGGGGACTTGTTTTCATTAAACTTGTTGTATGATTATCGTTCCATCGGAATGGAATATTTTGTATTTTGTACCCCCCCGGATACTATTTCATATGATTTTCATATGATTTCATATGAAATATTGTTATGAAATCCCGTCCAACATAAATATTTTGATATTTGATTAACTGCGGAACTGTGTTTGTAAATAACTCGGAATAATAATAATGGATGGCTGTCGTATATCAAAATTGTAATTTCGATGGACAAAATATTCAACAATTCGGTGGAGATGGTCGGGGTTTGATGTTTTCGAGTGTTTTGTACCCTAAAATGTACATTATTATATTGAAGGTTCAGATTGTGAAATAATTATGTTCTGGAACAAAAATTCAAAAACCAAGAATTTTCAAAGAGCACGAATACATAACTTTTTATCTAAATTTTAATTTCTAATTGTTTAAATTTTTATTCTAAATTAAACAAGTTTGACATTTTTTATTTAAATAGATTGAAATTATCTACTTTTAATTTATATAGGATATAATTTTTTTCTCTTAGAAACAATTTTTCTGCTCTTACGGAGAAATTTTATACTGTTATAAGAATTGTTATCACTCCTAGTAACAGTTTCTGCTTTTAGAAACAAATTTAGAATTTTTAGTAACATATTTTTAACTCTTAGAAATAAATTAATCACTAATAGGAACATATTCATCATTCTTAGAATTTTTTTTTATTACTCAATTTATTTTTTTATTCCTCAATTTTTTTTACTCCTAAACAAATTTATTACTCAGAAATAAACTCATCACTGTGAGAAATAAATTTACTAAAATAAGAAACAATAGTTTTATTTTTATTAAACAACTTTATCATTTGTAGAAATAAACTTATCACTCTTAGAAACTAATTTATTACTCTTCAAAATAAATTTTATATTTTTAGAAACAAGTTTTGTACACCTATTTTTTTCACTTTATTTTTTTATTCTCAAACAAATTTATTACTCTTAAAAACTAATTTATAGGCCTTACACATTTATATTTAATTCAATAATTTAGCACTTTTGAAAAAATATTTCTCACCATTAGACAAATTTATAAGTTCTACAAATTTACATTCTTTGAAACAAATTTCTCACTCTTAGAAACAAATTTATAGGCTTTACATATTTGTTAGAACTCTTAGAACTTAGAATTTCTCACTTAATGAAATTTTTTTTTTAAGTCTTACACATTCACACTCTTAGAAACAAATTTCTGATTAGGTCTAATAGAATAAAGCAATTCCTACTCTTATAAATAAAATTCTCACTCTTCAAAATAAATTTCTTGCTCTTAGAAACGAATTTTACACTATTTGGAATAAATTTTTCACTTTTAGAAACAAATTTCTAAGCCTTGTACATTTATACTTAATTTAGCACTCTTAGAAACAAATTTCGAAATGTTAGAAACAATTTTCGTACTCTTAGAAACAATTTTATAAGTCTTACACATTTACATTATTAGAAACAAATTTATTACTTTTATAAACAATATTTTCATTCTTAGAAACAAATTTATGAGCCTTACACATTTATACTTAAAGATACATAGAACATTCAAATCCGATACTCCACTCTTTCAAAAACTCGATTTGCATTTGCACTTCTTGCTCCGTATCTCCGTAACGGCTGGACCTGCCTTTGCCAAAAACTAATCAGCACATCTCCCTATCAATAGGGATCGAATGTTTTTTGAACCATTCAAATCGGTTGAACCATGCGTACACACACACACACATCCATTTTTTCTGAGGTATGCCTTAAAAATGTTCAGAAACCTTCAAAACGTCGAGAAATGCAAAAATTTTGATTTTCGATTTTCGGCCCATTACTATTAACTACCCTACGGGAAGTTAAAAATCGTAAAACAAAAACAAATTGTGATGTTGTAAATACTTCTAACATTTATGCTTAAATTCACTTCACATCAACAAAAACAATTTCTCATCTTTAAAACACAAAACTGTCTATCTGCTCCATCTTCGTGATTGTTTTAAATAGTCCCTCCACTTGGTCATAAAAAATTAAGAAATTAAGATAAGCGAATGATGATTAGGTACTTTTGCTGTATATAGTCCCTGTATATATATATATATATATATATATATATATATATATATATCTACCCTACAATATACTTTACTTTATTCTACCCCTCTGTTTTGTGGCTTTTACAAAGTGCCATAATTATTATTTGAAATTGCCGCGTTTCGCTCCACCGTGGAGGGGCTCAGAAGGCAATAAGGGTTGTCATCTTGTCTTAATATACAACCACGTACATACACGTGCCAATACACACACACACCTAAAATATCCTATTACACAAAAATTATTAGAAACAAACTATTTATTACCATTACCATCGTTCCACTAAAAACTTTCCTCTAAATCGATTTCAATTCTTTTCGAAAAGAATCCTTTTGAATATTTTTAAATCTATCGCAAAAGTGTGGAAACGGAAATTTAAAAAAAGAATTAAAAGCAAAAAGGAAAAATAAAAAAAATCAGCAGGAAAATCGGATACGTTTCCTAGGAAATAAATCTAGCATTTCCTTTACGCCGGAACATTAATCAAAACCGGTGGAGGAATGCAGGAGCGAAGAGGAGTTCTTGTCAGTTTGGAAATTTAAAAAGGATCTGGGGACTTGTATGTGAATTCAGTTACCACCTATTGGCAAGTTGCAGATTGAGATAGGATAGAGATGGATTTTTATTGAGTGATAAAAGTTTTGTATAAACTTTATACATAGTTTAATGATTAAGAAATGTATATGCATAGTTTTAATGATTAAGAAAAAGGTTACGTTCATAGAATTCTCCACAAGAATTTTTGTCAGAAAATTAATTACAATTCTATTTACATGAAATAATAAATAGATCACAATATTTCAATTTAATTTGAAGTATGTCTTTAATCACATTATTGTTTTTAAACATTATACATATCTTTAATGCTTTTATAAATATATAATTTTTAATTTATCATTATATAAATGTGTATAATGACTGACACGAATATACATGTGCATCCCGAGTGCCACCATATTACTAACTATTCAAAATTGTTATATAATATTTTTATTTTTACTTAAATGCCATCTTGCACAGTAGCAAATAAGTTTTACTTCATTTGCGTGTGAACCTTACGCGCACTTTTTTTTCAAATTTCCCTGTTTTTATGTTTTTGAAAAATTAAGATATTGCTGAAATGAGTGGTAAATTTTGATTCTATGTACTCTGGATTCCATGGATGTTTAATTCGATATATTGCCCGATTCAGATTTTGAATAGAATCTCGATTTTGGATTTGGACCTTTTAGAATTTGGGTTTTGTATATTCTGCATTCTGAATTGTGGAGTTTGGAATTCATGTATCTGCATTTTGCATTTTATATACTATCACTTCTGGATTTTGAAATTTAGATTCTATGTATATACCCTGGATTTTGAATTTTGTGTTCCATGTATTTTGGATTTTATATACTATAGATTCTGAGGTTTGGAGATTGAATTTAATTTTTTTTAGACTAAAATAATATATTTTGGATTTCGAATTTTTGTGTATGGATTTTTCGTTCTGGCTTTTGGATTTCATGTACTCTAGATTCTGAATTTTAGAGTTTGGATTTTATGTATTCTGGATTTTATACACTCTGACTTCTAAATTTTGAAGTTTGCATTTTATGTATTATAGATGTTGAATATTATATGCTCTAGATTATGGATTTTATATGCTATGGAATCTGAATTTTGAATTTTGGAATTCAAATTTTATGTATTTAAGATTTTGGATTTTATATACTTGTATTATTAATTTTGAATTTTGGATTTCATGTATTTTGGATTTTTTTATAGCATGAGTTCTGAATTTTTGAGTTCAGGTTTCATGTATTCTGGATTTTGGTTTTTAACGATTTACTCTGGATTCTGAATTTTGGAATTTGATTTTTATTTATTCTAGATGTTGGATTTTATATACTCTGCGTTCTGAATTTCTATACTATACTATAAATTCTGGATTTTATATAATATAAATTCTGAATTTTCGATTTTGAATTCCATGTATATTAGAATTTAGCAATAATCTCTGGATTTTGGAGTTTGAATAATATGTATTCAGGTTTTTGGATTTTAACAATATACTCTGGATTCAGAATTTTTTAGAATTTGAATTTCATGTATTCTAGATTTTGTATTTTGGAAAACAGAATTATGGAGTTAGAATTTTGAATATTCTGAATTTTGCGATTATAATGTTTAAATTTGAAACTTCTGGATTTTGGAAATATTCTGAAATTTGTATATTAGTATTCACTTCTCAATTTAGGACTTTAAATATATTTCCAACTTTGGATTGGAATTTCATTTTTTATTCTTGATTTTGTATTTTGGAAAATAGACTTATAGAGTTAGAATTTTGAATATTCTGTATTTGCGATTTTAATGTTCAAATTTTTAAATAAAATATTCTGAAATTTGTATATCAGTATTGACTTCTCAATTTAGGATTTTAAATATATTTTGAACTTTGGATTGAATAATATTTTAGAATCTCAATTTTGAAGCCTAATTATTAATTCTCGAATTTGGATTTCTTAAATTCTGTATATCCTAGATTTGATTTTTCTTAGATTTTATCCTCGATTTTGAATTTTATATGATCTGCTTTTTGGACGTTAAGATTTTATATTTTGCATTATATTTTTTATATATTAATTAGCGATATTCTGGATTTTGTATAGATACTCATTTTCTTATATAATCTGAATTCTGGATTTTAAATTTTAGATTTTATACATTACGATTTTTGGATATTTATTATATGTTTTTTATTCAGGATTTTTTATACTTTGAATTTTATATTCCATATATTCTGCATTTTATAAAATTTGGATTTTATATAAAGCCGATTCAGAATTTTAACTGTACCTTTGATTTATTCAATTTAAAATTTATTCAGTTTTAAATTTCAATTATTCATGCTATAATAAAATATAGCCTGGAACCACCTAAGCGAAAAACAGAATTCAACAGAATTTCATAAATTCCGAATCTGATTCCTACCAAATATCTCCCGACTTATAGCACCGTCTTAACAATAAATACAAATCTATATTTCGCCATAAAAATCTGCTCAATATCAACCATCCCCCCACAACCCCCAACATTCTCAAATAAAATCCATAAATCCATTCCTCCACCGTCGCATCTGTTTTCATACACACACCTTTACCTAAAATAAAAATATGATAGCGGATCATGAAATTCATAAATAAATATTTTTTATTAGATCTCTCTTCATTTTTCACATTTTCAATTTCCATATCGAGAGCAAGAGCAGCAAAGCAGCAAAACCCATTTTTGCTCCTGCTGCTGCTGCTGTAACATTGCCCAGATATGGCAGCAAGTAAGAGTAGTAGTATAAGTCTTAGGCAATTTTTCACGTGGATAAACTTGTGGGAAAAACTATTCGGAAAATTGGAAGTCGAAGGGAAAAATAATCTTGGGAGAAAGCTTGAAATAAATTTTATAGTTTGTGATAATAAATATTATTTAATATTTTTTAATTTTTAATAATTAATTAGTACACTGGGGCACGTCATTTATGTAAATAAGGAAAAGAAGTGGCCCTCGTACACACCCTTGTGGAACCCCCATCTTTAAATTCATATTGTTAGAAACAAATGTTATCCCGTTTTGATTTAAATGATCACGTTGTGATATGTCATTAATATCATAATTATATAATATCACTAGCAAACCCGACAAACTCCGTTACGCCACCAGATGGTTTCGTGAGAAAGATGAAGAAATTTTTTGTTTGTTTTATATTTGAAAAGAAATAATTTGATTTTATTATACAACAGTAATGAATTTATTTCGATTACAAAAATGAAGTGTTTTTTAGTTGAACTTCTCTAAGTAAATGAGAGTGAATCCGCAAATTATCTGTTTCATTGAAGTGCTCTTTGGCAAACCACATTTTTTGTTTTTTGGTCTGACGTTAACACAAACAAAGCGGATAGTTGTCCAACTCGTGAACAGGCAACGTATAACTGCCCATGTGAAAAACAATGATTTTCTAAATAATCTATTTGAAATTTATCCCGCAAACACTAAGCGATTGGCCTTGCGACTTGTTATTGCGAACGCTTGGAAATTGCAATCGTTTCAAGTCAAACGGAAGACCAGTCGGAATCATTGGTATCTCACCAAATCGCCAGCAATTTTTGATTGAATGGTGAAATTCAGTGCGTGTACATCATTATTCTTTGCGGCAAGAATTGCTCGTTGACTTAACCAAGCATAATTCTGATAATTCTCACTAATATCATTACTCGAATTTTTAATTACGGTGTGTGAAGTTCCAGCAGCTTGCATTAAGGCACGATGCCATGCACCACTAATTTTCTTAGCTATAAACCTTGCGGAGCCCGAGACCTTTCCAACGAATGCAAAATTGTCGAAATCGGTTCTGGAGTTATATCGTCAGGAAGGAAAACCCGACTTATTTTTATATATATGTAGATAAATATTAATAAGATTCTTTTACCCTGACCCTTTCCTTGGCCACCTCTGATATTTTAGCTTTTCTCACAGAATAGTAAAGGGATGTGATGGTGTAACCCTTTGCGAAGATCGTTTTCACAATTTTCTTTTATGCAATAATAAAAAAAATCGATTCTCTATATTACCTTTATTTTTTATTGGAATGGATTCCTACGATTGAACAGATTTTTTTTATTTCATATTTATTTAGACGGAGAGTTGATAGAAAAAAAAGCTGATTTATTTCCTGAAGGAAGACATATTTATAAATAATATAATATTATGTGTTTTTGATTCGTTAAATAATTTTAGATGTTTGCTGAGTTAAAAGTGCTTTGAAGAATTTGTTTTTTTCAACTTTAAATTGAATTTTTAATAAAGTTATTTTAAATTTATCTAAAAATAAGACCTAATTATTCTTAATTACTATCAATCCTAAAGTACTCTAAAAATCATGTAGTTTTCATAATCTTCACATTTTGAAGGCTTTATTCATGATTTGTAGGCTTTATTTACGATTTTTAGCCTTTATTCAAGTTTTTCGTGGCTTTATGTACATTTTGGGAGGCTTTAATTCGCGAATTTGGAGGCTAGATTCACGTTTTGTAGACTTCATTTGCAAATTGTAGGCTTTATTTGAGTTTTTGGAGGGTTTTGTTCACGTTTTTGGAGGTTTTGTTCACGTTTTTGGAGGTTTTGTTCACGTTTTTGGGGATTTTGTTCACGATTTGGAGGTTTTATTCACGATTTGTAGGCTTTGTTCACAATTTATAGGCTTTATTTCAGTTTTTGGAGGCTTTATTTCAGTTTTTGGAGGCTTTATTAAAGTTTTTGGAGGCTTTATTCAAGGTTTTGGTGGAGGCTTCATGCAAGTTTTTGGAGGCTTTATTCACGATTTGGAGGCTTTATTTCAGTTTTTCGAGGCTTTATTTACATTTTCGGAGGCTTTATTCGCGTTGTTGGAGGTTTTGTTCACGTTTTTGGAGTCTTTGTTCACGAATTTGTTGGCTTTATTTCAGTTTTTG